GGACTCCTATATTCCTAACACTCAATAAGTGGTAAATATCCTAAGTCATCCAGAGCAATGGTGGTTGCTAATCTCTCCAAATCTAAATGGAATTAAGTTTGAAAATGATTCAAAAGGATTCATTTATTTTAAGACTGTCTGCAGTTGAAGACCCACCACCTTTGCTAACCTTTGTTTTAAAGGAGGTGCATTTAAGTTAAAGAATAATGTGTAGACATAGTTATAGAGCAGCCTTTTTCTGTCTGTCTGGGCTTTTTTTGGTGTGGTGGAAGAGGACAATTATACCGTTTAGTTTTCTCAATTTCATATTTTCAAGTTGAGATTTGAGATGGATTTTATGGTACACATCAATGTATGTGATGCTTTATTTATTTTCCCTATTTCCTTTTTGAATAATTCTGTTGACAAGGTTTGAGTGACAGGGATTTACTTTTCCTAACCATTTTAAGTCTGCTGTCAATTTTTATGATTCAGCAGGGATTCCAACCTAAGATGTAACAGTTTCATTATCGTGATTTTTACCTCCCCCTAAATCTACTCTTTTTAGGGATTCATGAGACTATTCATTGTTGTAATTCCATAACTCATATGCCGTGATCTTTATTTTTGAATTTGAGACTTTATCTGTCCAGTTTCTCCACTATATGTTTTATAGCCCCTCACAGATGAAAGCATGTGTGCACTCAAAATTTGTAATACCCATATATAGGGTGTTTTTGGGATATATCTGTAGAAAAACAGAAAGTTCATGAGCATTTAGGTGGTTGCAGTTGTGACAGACTATAATTGTATAACAGGTAATTCATCCTGCATTTTCTGTTGGCATGACAAGCACTCCTGCTAATTCTGTAGTCATTTCAGTTCGCCTTAGGGTCAGCATAAATCGGAAATGATTTGAAGGCATAAGCAACAGCATCATCATCATCAACAACAATAACAACAACAGGAGCAACAAAAGAGTTCAGATTGCTGGTGTGATCCTCCTCAATGCCCTTTGGTGTTTGGTTTGGCAAGAGGTTGGGAGTCATGGAAGACATAGGATAAGGACGAGAATACATATCTGACTAAATGCAGTCTAGAATCCATCATAGATTCTACTTTGTACAGTCATGGTGGCAGTGTTGTTTTCTTTAAATTGACCAGCTGTCCAAATAATAATAATAATAATAATAATAATAATAATAATAACAACCCCCCCCCCTTTTGGTGCTTGTTAGTTCTAAATCCTTTGAAATAAAATTGTTCATGGCTGGAGAGCTCACAGCTTGATTAGGGCAAAACTTCCATTGTTTGGGAGCTCCTTGACACTCTGCATTTGATACAGGCATGCTCCAAATATTTGTGTTGCCACAATGTTTCCCAATTTGAATTATTTGTCTGATTGCATGACACTACCCTCTGTTCTTTCTCCTTCAGGTTCAACTGATCTCCCTTCTTATCACGCAGTGGGGCTTTCCAGTATCAAGAAACCTGGGTGGAGACTTCTCAGAACAGTGAGCTTATCGGTGTTTACATAAAATCTATTGCCTTTTCTGCTATAAAAATAACTATATTGCCTATAATGACCATAAATGCTGAGATCAAACTTTCCCTCTGATAAGAATAGAACATCTCCAGTAAAACCAGAAGACAGAAACTTTTGTAGTAACACATTTCCACTCTTAAAATCCCTCTGGTCTTTATGTATGTATATATGTATATTACAGCTTCCTTTCTTGCCAAAAATTAAGGAAAGTTGGCTAAGAACATTAACATCTAAGAAAATTCACATATAGAAGGGTTACAACACAATTTGAACCTGTCAGCTGAAAGAAAGAGCATCCAGCCTATTAAAAAGCCTTTAGCAGCAACCAGCCTTAAATACTGAAGAAATCTCTAAATAAATGATATTGTCTGTCTTAGATGAAGGCCTCGGTATCTACTGGCTATCATGCCTATGAAGTTCTTTATCCACTTTGTGTCTATGTGTGTTTTAAAGCAGCTATTTGAGGCACCGGACCTAGTCCCTGAATATGTTCAGTACCCTGGACAGCTCATTTACAATACAGATTAAAATCAGAAAGGAGAAGCTACTCCACTAATATGGAAGTCAATGGCTACTAGAGGTGTGCATTTTTCTCATTAGTCCTTGTAAGTCGTATCAAGTTCATTAAATTTATATTTACGAGGTGATATCCAACACGCAAGGAAGACTCCAGCAATACATGGAGCGAGAGTTGCCAGATGTTCAAGCTGGGTTTAGAAAAGGTAGAG